GCTTCAAGCAGAGTAAAAAAGCAAAACTACCTCCTATGGGTTATTAGCTATGTAAATCACTGACACAAATCCAACTCGGTGAAGTGGCAAAGACTCTGTAGCTGAATCTTCAATTATATCTTTTTTGTGCACRTCAATACTTTTCAAAACTTACCTTTTGTATAGATAGACTTCAAAGTGCCTGAAATTGCAAACGACCCAGGCTGATTTAAGGCATTTGGTGGGTCAAAAATTTATATTAGAATTTTTATTAGAAAACATGGGATAGGATTCATGAGCTTTCCCAAGAGGAACAAGATTTCCTGGCAAGTTGTTCTTTGAGAACAGGTTTAATGATGAGGGGGAAAATTATTTATTTTTCATTATTCAAGCACGATGAAACCGTTTGGGAAGCTGAATGGTAGCAGAAATCAAGAACTCTACTGCAGGTACCATCATCCTGCTGCTGCTGTCCTCTGTAACCACGAGTCTTCTGTAAAACACTGACTGCTTTTCTGAATTGAACCTCCCAAATGATTTCCTGGAATTTTAGTATGATTTAGCAGAAAGCAAGTTTAGTTTTCCATGGTTCTTACATTGTTTAGTTTTCCTGTAATGGCTCTAAYACAAACAGGCTCAGAACAGAAACAATGACAGAAACAAGGCATGCTACAGCATAATGCAATATATGTGTATTCTACACTAGAGAATAAAGAGGTAGAACTATATTATCATTGTTAACAGCTGTAACAATTCAGGTAACTGGAAAATTACTTGAATGGTACATGAACAGTTTTTACTGAGCTAAAAGGAAGGAGAACACAATCCCTCCCATCTCAGGAAATACCAAAATATATGACTTTGTTATTTGTTCCAACTTGTGCACAGAGAGCACTTATCTTAAACAGTGGGTCTGGACTGACAAGTCAAATTGCAAAGTAACAATTCCAAAATAAGGATTCCAAGCATCTAGTTAACAACACACAGTGCATCCAAGACTTGGCTCTACCAGGCCAAATCTTTAATCATGACTCCTTACCTTATGCCTTCTTTGAGGATTCTTTAACTCAAATCTTCCCATAGATCAAGCACAACAGGAAAAAAAATCAAAATTGCTTTGCTGGTCAACTAAGTGCTGTACCAGGGAATCACAAACAGGGCAATCTTCCACCCCTACAAATTATTCTCAGCAGTAGACACTAAAACACAACTGGGCACAAAGCACAATGAACAAACAGTGGCACCAACATTGCTCAGAAGAGCTTCTTCCTTCCCAGGCAGTCTCAAAGGATTCCCCAAAAAGGCTCTTTTTTGAAAATTGTCACCTCAATTTTTTGCAGCTCTTTTAAGGTTTTTTTTTTCCCAAAGAAGGTGAAAACACTTTGTAAGGCTGAATTACAGTAAATTGATGCCAGTAATTTTCCAGTACCTGTTAAAATGCTTTCCAGAGCACTCTGCAYTGTCCCTGCACAGGGATACCCTTTGTTACACCACATTTTGCAGTGTGCAGTGCAGCCAGACCTTGCTGCTCTGTCCGGATCAGCTGAATATTTCCTCCTCACCAGCCAAAGAGAAAGAAACCTAAATGCCAACAAACATGGGCGGATCTGCGACAGTTCTCCCCAGTTGGTGATTTTGTTCACAAGTTTGGTCTTAAAAGATTTTCTGCTGTGTGTTTTCACTTTTGAATTAGTCTATTTTCATCCTTTAAAACACATTTTTCCTTACACATAAATATATTTATTCAAACTTTTCCCTATCTCATTGCAACTTTTGATTTTTACTGTACAGTATACRAGTTGTTAACATATTGTATTATCAAACAAGGTTTTAAATTCTTTTTTAAAATGTATTTTTAATTCTCATGAGTGCTTCTATTGTTAGCTCTCATGTAGCCTAGAAGGCCATAAGGGCAGAAAAAAAAAGGGGTTGATCACCAGATTTCTGTGGTGAAAGTATGAGAAGTTCCATGCAGGTAAATTAGTATCAAGCTYTAATAGAATATATAGAAGCAGAGGGGTAAAAAAAAAGAAAATCATTTACTCTCTCAGTGGAGGTACATCTTTTGATAGCTATTTACTCACAGACGTTCACACCTACATACATTATTTACTATACCGAGCTTTCCAAAGGCCAAATTACATAAAGCTATAAAGATCAGATCCCCAAATGAGGCATATATGGAATTTAGGCACTTGCATTCAAAATTGCTGTCCTGAGCACCCTTTCCTGGGCTGCTGTCTTCCTCTATTCCAGACAATTTCACTATTAAAGATCCAGAGATCCMTGTAACAGAGCCTTTTTCATGTGTATAGTTCTTTAGAAAATGATGAAACACAAACCTTGCTCACATTTAAAGCTGATCATGACACAAAATTTAAATATTTTTCTTATCTTCTTTTCAAAGAAAAATCTGCCACACACAAAATGCATGTTTTAGCATGTCTGTAGCATCAGGCTCAATTCCCAACACAGTAACTCAATATGAGAGGCAGAGGTAGGCTCCTCTTCAGCTTGGTGCCTGCTTTTACAAAGTTTGGAGTACAGCCCAATGTGTATGTCTGGATCACCCTGCTTCAGCCAGAGATACTTTCTCAATCCTCACCACTGCATTTACTGCTACTGTTCATCATCAAACTCTCACAGTCATACCAGTCACACCATTTCACCCGATGGATCAGCTCAACCTGCCTTCAGCAGCCACCAAAATGGCCTGGCCTGTCCAGCAGACAGGGGAGCACTTCCACCATGCCTCYCACTGACAGTGCTATATCAAAAGTTACTGCCAGGAAAAGAGGCACAACAAACAGCCAGCACCTCCAACTGAGAGAGATGTTTGCAACATAAGCACCTCCCCCACAGCTTAAATGACAGYTCAGGGTTGAATGATCTCATTCAGAATGGGCAACATAGCCCAGAGTTCTACCACCTTCTCAACACAATTCTTTCATGACCAATTTTTGAGACCCTATTCCCATCTCCGTAGAAGAGTCTGGAGACAGCAGACAGGAAATTCCTATGACACCAGAGATTGTCTAAGTCTCTTCACATAGTGAAGGGAAACAAATCAAGTACTGAATTTTCTTCATCTTTATGTCTTTAGTTGTCTTTACACGTAACAAAATGTGGAGTTTCATTAAAATAGCTGAGGACACAAAATTCTGGACCAKCAATGTTTATGATGCCCAAGTCAACTTCATGTACTAGCAGATATAAAGAGACTCAGAGCTTAATATTTTAAAACTCACTAGCTCAGGTAAGACTCCCAAATGAAATAATATAGAAAAAAACAATCTAAGTAATATCTGAGTAATTAAAAATCTAAGTAATATAATAAAAAATCTAAGTAATATCTGAGACATTTTTTCCCCATCGCCAAAGACCTAAAACAGCAGTTAATGTGACATTAACTAAGTGAAGCCTAATTAAATTTCCAAAGCAGAAGAAAATTATAKTAAGACCTTTTAACTTCCCAACCAAGAAAACAAGGAAATAACTGGTACTGATAAAAGAGTAAGTTTAGAACAAAAAAAAATATTACTTTTATAAGGCATGAAATATAAAACACAGTTTTGCCTGGATTTTCAGYAGTGACTTTGAACATAAGCAAAGACAAAAAACCAAAGTACAACAAATGTACATGAGTAAAAATTATCAAAACAGAACTTAAATATATTTCATCTTAATACAAGAACAGTTTCACCAAATCACCTCCTTAATCTGATTCTTTTGTTACAAACTGGGTGACGGTGACAGACACTACCAGGAGACACCACCAGAAGATCTGTGCTGACCAGTAAATGTTATATAMATATGAGATAAGCATTAATGTCAAAGTAAGCTTTCATTATTGTGTGCTGTTCTGGTGGTTTAATACCAATGAGCCCAAAGAATATCTCAAGTGAAAAAACACTGATGAGRGTTTTGTCATCTGATGAGGGCTTAGAAGTTACACACAAGGAAGAGAACCATTTAAACTGAAACACTGAAGGACTGTTAACCATTGAAATGGGAGGTTTCCCCTAGAGCAGATGAAAATAAACACTTTGGATAGCTTTCTGTTGCCGTTTGACCAAGTCGGCAACCTTGAACCAGACCTTTATCATTTTAGGAGTTGCTTGGGGGATGTCATTGTTTTGGGCACGAGAACAAGATGGTTCTTGTTACACACTTCAAAGGGATTTTAAAGCAACATACCTTGAAACTTGCAGTGTAAAACATCATGCTACTTAAATGTAACTTGTGGCAGGACAAAGTAACAATTTATAGTTGCTTCATGGTTTCAAGAATTATGATCACATCTGTCATCACAAACCTTTAGAGGTGATACTGCATTATCAGGGCTTAACCATGCTCCCTTTTTGTCCTAAACAGCTAGTTGCTTTGCCTTCCATAAGACAGAGACACAAAAAAGAAATAGGAGAATCAAAATATAATGCTTTTCCTTTTAGAATTGCTTCCATCAAATCATAACTCCATGCAAAATATTACCTATTTTTAATACTCTCATTTGGAAGTCTTTTGATGCTATGGATGAAACCATCGAGCAATTTCATTCTCAATCACTGATTATTATTTTTCCCCCCCAGAAATTTAATTCTGTGGAAGAAATCATTGACTTCTACAAATCCGTTCCCATAACACTCATTGACGGAAAGGATCARTCAGGAACCCACAGAGAACAATGCTACCTCACACATCCATTCAAGCCATGCTGAYGTTTTCTGCCTTACTGTCACTGACTCATTTGTATAGCTATAAATAGAAGTTATTTCAATGTCTCAGGAATTAGATTAACCTTTTGAGCAAGGAGCTCCCCATAACATAATGAAGCATTCGACAGATCTACTCCATTTTTTCATTGTTGCATTTTCACTTTGAGGATACAAGTAAAGAATGTGCCAATGTAATAATTCAGAAAGTGTTGAGAACRACTCCTGATATCTTTACGATGACTGATCAATTTGCTAATCTTGTACTCTACCTCCTAACTTCAGATGAAAACAAAACTCACCCTTGCTTATCTAAATGTCACTGAAATACCATTAAGTAGCAAAAGTTAATAAAGTGTATCACTATCATCAAATAAATATCCTTGCTTTTAAAAATACACGTCACAGTTCTCACTGTCTAACAATTTCATGTGGTGTACATATGTTTGCTCAACACCAAGCTGTGCTCAGTCGCCACAGAAGTTTTTGTCAGCTGATGCTTACAGGCATTGCAGGTTATAAAACTAGTTGTAATTATGTAAATTCTATTACWCAATGAGCACTTCTTCTTTAGCTTAAATAGCAGGTACTTGTATTCCATACCTGAGACTCCAAGCACTTACACAACAGGACCATTATGCAAACATCACTTTGAATTCCTACCACGTGCAAATTTAGACATAGAAATCATTAGTAAGAAGAGCAGATGTGCTTCAAAATCAGCAAGAAAACATGTTCCAGTGCATATGAGCAAAAATATGAGAATGTGATATTTTTCCAGAAAGAAAAAAAATACTGAAATATTTATTCATACAATTTGAGTTTTTGAAGGCCTAGCTAAATTGTGCATGTATATAAAGGCAAACYAAAATTCCGTACATATACGAAACGATTTTTTTGCATAGCATCAATAATCTTCCTAACCACGCTCAGAAGTTTGACTAGGTAATTTGCAACACACCAAAAAAAAAGGAACCTCAGTTACTTTATCCTTATAGAATAGRAACAAGAATAAAACCCCTCAAGCCAAAACCACAACATTCCAGCCCAATTTATGACGTACTATGTAATGCCACAACTAGCTCTGAAAAAATTTAGCAGTTGATTGCCATTTTCTTCCAACCTTTTAATTTCTCAACACTGCATCAAAATGGAAGAAAACATCCAYTGTAAATAATTTCTCTCAAACTGATAGGACTGCTAAACTTGAAGGAAGTTATTCTGACATAATTTTATGTAGTAAGAATAAAAGGAACAAAACAGAAGCTGCTAAAATAGTTTAGCAGAGCTCATAAAAAAGCATGACATAATCTGCTTTGAGAATTTCATAAGGACAATGCAATTTAACTTACAAAACTTTTCATATTGAAACAAAAAAAATGTCTACATTCAAAACCATAAAGACCCCAAGGCTTAACAATTCAGATAACAGATTATGGCAGTGACATACAGAGCTCTACAGATGTTTACTAAAGTAAACAGTAAACTTGCTTAGAGAAGTCAAGGATTACCAGTATATTTAAACCACCAAGAGTTTATAAAGTTGAGTAGCAACAGTTCTCCCATCCCCCCAGTACAGCTTTCATGAGCAAAGTTCTGATTTTGCCAGTGACAACTCCTACAAAGTAAATTCAAAACTATTTATTTAGTAGCTTCTACAGAAACAAAATTAATTCAATCAGTAACCTGGACTGAAGGAATTAAAACAAAGGAGGAATGCTAACCATGGGGTTTTTTGTGTTAACCATTTCAGCATTTATTGTACATGATATGCCAGAATTTTAAAATGGAAACTATTTTCACKGTTGAAAATGCAAATAGCACTRTTAGGTTTGGCATCAAAGTATATGAAGTGAAAAAAACCCTCTAGTGTACCCATCTAAAAAAATATAATTCCATTTGAATATAAAATGAGAACTGTCTTTTCCTTATTATTGACAAAACAGGCAAAACAAAGTTTGTTCTGTGGAATAGGTTAGTCTGATACAAATGATAGAAAAATTTTCCATGTGTACAGGATGAAAAGGATCTGACTTAAAGCACCAACTATCAGAAGGATTTTAACACTGTATTGCAAAATTATGGGAAAGCAATAAGTGGTTTTGAAAATAAACCTCAGTCAGATGTAGTTTAAAAATATTTACATTTCAATGTAGATGTGATAAATACTTTATCAAAACAATGTATAATCTGCTGGAGTATATAAAAAAAATATTCCCAGCTAGACTGTTTACAAAAATGCACCATCAGTGAAAAGTTAGGGACTACCAGTTTACCAGAGAAGTCCCAGTTAAAACACAGAACACACATCCAGCATTAGAGTCAGTATTGATTTTCATATTTCTAAAACTGTAACACATTATTTTAATTGTATGTGCTTCAATATACTTCATTCTACATGATTCTAAAATGATTTAAAAATGACAAGATGAAGAGAAACATCCATAGCTCACACACAGAAACAGTAACTTCAGTGTCATCCATTCCTTTTTGTTACTAAAAAACTGTAATTTGGCCCTGATTTAGAGAAGTGTTTAAGCAACTGAACAATGTTTACACTGCACTGAAGTCAGTACACATAAGACATAATTTGGAACTAGGCACATGCTTTTGAATTTGAGGCCTATAAAAAATAAATTGTAACATCTAAATTGTTAAGCATGATGAAAGATTGCACTGAAAATCTGGTTCAATACTGTCAATGTAAAAGCTGTGCAAATGGCTTTTCATTTTGAAAAGTCTTCATCTTCAGCAAGTTCCCCTGTAAATAAGCTCACCAACTAGAGTTCTAACCAAATACTGAGTTCTATAAATGCTTTATCGCACACAAGGTGTTAGAGGGTTTATGTTTGGCTAATACWATTTCAGAGCAGCCTTGAGGCCATACAGAGAAATGCTTTTCACTGTCGCCCCAAACCTAATCGCATCTCTGGCTTGATCAAATCCTGACAGTGTTCTGCTCCCTCACACCTACACAATACAGTCTAGGTAAAGACTAAGTACTAAGCAAAATTGAATTTTTTGGTGCTACCTGATCTAGTGGGAGTAACTGATTCCATAGATTTTTTTATTTACACCCTTGTATCTCCTCTGAAGTCAGCAGAAGTGTTTTTAGTTCACTGAAACAGAGCACTTGCATTTAAWTTTTTCTTTTTATGCGTAGTGCTTAATTTGCCACTAAAACCTATGACGCTCACTTGCTGTCCACAGAGGACCAAAGGTGCTTTTCAGTACAGATGTGCTCAATCTCTGAAACATCATGCTGTAATAAAGCAAACTAAATCCTCTTAAATTTACAAAGATATCATCATCTAAGACTTTAATCCATACAGACCTAGCACAAACCACATACAGCACAGTATCCTAGGGTAACCAGAAAGATGTTTGCATAGCAAATCTTCTTCAAATTTTTTCTATGGAACAGATGAAGCTGACCTCCACTATAAATGTCAAACACAAGAGTGCAAAGTAGTGCTTAAACCTCACTATCAGCTTCTCTACCTCTCTGTACCTCTACTCTCTTCTTCACTTTGCTAACAGTAGAGGACTTTTGGCAAAATAAAGCAGTTATTTCAATCCTCCGTTTCAAGCAAGTTAGTGGCACTCATTAAAAGCAAGAGGGGAAACCTCCCCTAGTCTCTCACTTAATGTTTTTTTGCTTGAAGAGAAAGAACATCCCAACCCTTGGTTGCCTCTGTTAAGTGTCTCTGTCCATGACTTATCCATTCTTCTTGGTCCATATATACTCGTCCACAAAACCAACACCTAAACAGACACTGAAGTGCTTCAGCTGGTGAAGTTTCCACCACTTGGTAGTTATTTTTATGGGTCTTTTTCAGCTTCATTTTTAGCATACTCTGCTTTTTTGATTGGTTTCCTGTCTCAACATTCTGAAGAGTAAGACGCTTTCGGTAACGTCTGACACCAAGACAACTACTTGTCCTTTCTGACAGAACTACTTTCAGGACTTGACCTTTATACTTGTTGATAGTCTTCATGACATTAATGATCTCTGGTGAATCAACATCAGGATGGTTYAGTACCACAACTGGCTGGTTACGACGAGGGCATTTTATCAACTGATTCATTTTCAGAGGAACAAGTCGAAGCCGTCTTGCTGTCAACAGGTATGACGTATCAGAACTTGAACTGGTTTCCGACTGAGCTCTTGTTTTCCTCTTAGGAAGTTCTCTGAAGCTTGCTTGTTTTGCCTTATTTTTATGACCTAGTTGACTTTTTGAATAGGACTTGCTTTGCTTGCTCACATCACTGCTTTTCTGAAATGGTACACCAGTTTGCTTGTTGTTATTTTTAACACTTGCCTCYCGCTTTGGTCTTTGCCTGAGTGATATAGTTCTGGACTCAGCATTTGGCTCACTCTGATTAGGCAAAGCTTGGAAATTACTGCTGAGTGTCTCAGAAACACTGACGGGGACTGGGCGAGGCAGAAACATTTCATTGCAATGCACGGGAGCTGAAGTTTCACCTCTGTTCTCTACTCCATATGAGTTTTGACTGCTATTAGCATTCAGCACTCTCAGCATTGTCCCTTTRGGGATAAACATTGGAGTAGCAACATGGGAGTTTTTAGTTACTCTGTTTTTAGAAGTTCTTGAAAATGTAAAAAGCTGATCTTCACTGTGTTCTTCACTGCTAATCACACTTCTTTCACCATGCACTTGAGACAAAGATGCAGGTTGTTCCACTTCAGTGGCACAAACTCTCTCGCAGCTTGAACTTTCCTGAGGCAAAGGCAACTTTTTACTGGAAGCTTGACATCTCAAGGGCACAGATTTCATGTTAGGTTCAGCAGCAGACATGAGCTGAGCAATCTTTCTGCACAGCAATGTWGCTGATCTCTTCCTGCGTGTTGTGTCATCCCATCTGACATCCTCTGGAACATTTTCAGCCCCAGAGCTAAGAGAAAATACAGACGAAATAACAGGTCCTTCAAAAGAATTACCTTTCTTTTCCTTCTTCTGTAATTCTAGTGATTCCAGAAGATGACCATTCTTTTGACTTATGGTTTTAGCTCTCTTCACTTTGCTAAAGTCAAAATTTATATCCTCACAAGGTGGACTATCAGTAACATGGAAGTTTTTTCCTGCCTCAGAAGATGYAGCAGATCTTTTATCAAAATCCTTTCCAGCTAAATGTGCTTCAGTAGAGCTGACCAGCAGACTCTTACATTCCTTGTAAACCTTCTTCACAGACAATGTATTCTTTTCTTTATGGTCTGGAGAAGAACTTTCGCCCTCCTGAGCTGCTTCTGCTGAAATGTTCTTGGAAGTTTTACCTTCAGAAACAGAACCATATTTTGGACGGTATATATCCTCAGTTTCTTCATAACAATACACATCACAATGTAAGTTACTTTTTCCATCTACTTGCCCTCTTGAGGATTTAAGATCACTTTTTTTTTCAGTACTGTTCGTCACCAGAGATGGAGAACTAAGTTCTAGAACACCTGAATGGACATCAATACCTTTCACCAAATGAAAGCAAAATTTTGATGTATCTTCCCTTTGTATAGATACAGAGCTACAGTCAGATAGTTGAGAATCAGAAGAAGAAAAATATTCAGAATTCTTGTCATATGTACTATCCAGATCAAGCTGGTTACTAACATTGGATAATTTGTTTACATTCACTTCCATGGTTAGTAACTCATTTTGAGACATAGAAGATGTTTTTCTTCCTTCTGCAGATTGTTCTATACCTTGATTCTCAAGTTCCTCTTCAGCACAGTTTACAGATTTGTAATTTGCTTCTTTCATAGGAATTAGTTTAAGAACTAGCTGTTGTGCTCCATTCACTATTTTAAGCTCTACTATTTGAGCTAAACAGTTAGAAGGAACTACAAGTTCAGATGGTGCAATTACTGTTAAAGGCATCCCAGGTTGCAAAGGCTCTGTTTTTGGAGAATAAACCTCAACCTCCACACTTTGATTCTCACATACACTCATTTCAGATGGCTCCAATATAGTCTTATCCTGGACTGATGCTGTGTTTATGCTACATTCTACATTTTGAGATGAGCAGATTGTTTTAGCTGTTTTACTTGGAATCTCACAAACCATATTTGAAGACAAATTTGAAAGTTCATTCTGAAAAGAAATTTTATTGTATTTCTGCTTTTTACATAAAGTGCTTTGACTCTGCTTCTTTTGCTTGTGGTTTATGAAAGCATTTGACAGCCGTTTTCTGGGCGTTTCATGTACTCTTCTCGTATGTTTAACTATATAGTCATGTCTAACAGCACCATATTCACAGTATTCACACTGAAACGGAAAAGTTCCAGTGTGTTTCACCAAATGTYTCTGGAATTCTCCTTTGGTGTAGGATACACAATTACAGTGGGAACAAAGAAACTTAATTTCTTCATGTTGCCCTATGTGCTTTTTATACTGTAAAGGATCCTTTGTTGAAAATCTGCATTTATCACAGTAGTATTTACCTGGCAGAAAATTTTTTACTTTAAAGGTTTTCTGAGTTTTACTTGGGGTTTTTCTTTCATGTTTTTCAAAGTCTGCAGCATTGGCACCCTCAGGAACAAAATCAAAAGCTGGCAGCTCARTATGACTACACTTCTTGCAGATGAAATTTTTGTCTTCAGTCCACTCAAGCTTCTTACGCTTTTCTATATCTTGCATTGAAATTTTCTGAACACTTCTGCATTTTATACAGCTTATCAGTGTCAACCTATTGTTCTCAGCCTCAGTTCCTTGGTAACAGCAGTTCTGGTCATCTGCCCCTTTTGGTGGATTTGTTTTATCATCAGAAGATTGCTTTGGGGATGTAGTCAAGGAATTATTTTTATCATTAATTTGGCCAGGGTACAATCTTGGTAAAATTTCCCTCATTTTTTTCAACTGCATTTCAGAAGAAGCAACTCTGCACCAGTTTCATTAAAGACAGCAGCAATAGACAGAATGTTTTCTTAGTATTGTYCTTGCGTACGTTGCTTATCAATCAATCATTCAGGCCACCAATGTGAAGAATCTAAGCTTTGGAATAAATGATGTTCAAGCAMCCGCATCCAGATTATATTCCATGTTCTTAGTCCATCAACTTGGAGCACTAAAGAATAAAAAGCAGAGGATTAAGTCAGTTACAATTCACTGATCACTGAAATACAACGAAAYAATTATTGAACTATTAGTGGGCTACAGCTGAATTGCAGAATGCAAGTCTACTGCTAATATAACCACTGATTGTATTCTGCACACATTCTAAACATTAACTTCAAAACATACCAAATCAGATAATCCTTTAACATTTGCTCTCATTCAAAATGTTCACAAATTCATATGATTACCTGCTAAGCTTCAAAACCTAAAGAGTTCATGTTATTTCTCCCACGTCATGAAAAATTTTACATTTACGAAACATATCTGTAAGCCAAACAAGACACTTGACAACAGTGCAGAGTTATGATTTCATTTCAAATGCAGCCCTCAACTCAGAACAAGTTATRGTGAACCACTGCAAGCACCACTCACATGTGAATAGCAGGGAAACAGAATGTGGCTACAATGGCTACTAGAAAAACAGAACTATTATCTTGTTTTTAAACAGCAGATTTTTTAAGTTAGCATGGAAATTCCTGACATGCAGAAGGAAGTGCTTTTCTAATCAGTGCCAATGGTTCAGATACAAAMAGTCTTGAACACTAATTCATAACAAAATGTGATTTATGCTTCACATGTTCTCAAAGTAATGAAGTCAAAACAGTCTGTGGCTGCAAAATTAATTACTCTCTCTTATATTAATATCACAGTGTAAYCACTTCTATGTATGTGGACAAGCATATAAATAATTCACTTCATCCTAATAAAACAGAACATCAATAAAGCAAAATAAACAATGCAACATAAGGCAGAGAGAGATCAGTAATATCACTGTAAAACACCMCATTAACAAATGCAATATATGTGGCAAACAGGTTCTAGCACTCTGTCTACTATATTTAACAGGAAGATCTCAGCCTTTAAGCTTTTGACAAGACTATGAGACCATTATTATCTGGACAATAAACAACAAAATCAGGCTTTTGAAACATCCATGAAGTCTAATCATCACCTTTCTTATTCTGACAGCACTAGTTATAGACATACTGTTGCACAAAGTTGCACTCAGACTCTGCTGCAAGAGGTTATTTCTATTTTTCACTATACCCAACAAAAGGCTTCTGCTTCTGAAATCCAGATCATCACCAAGTTTACCTACAAAGATCAGGGCCTGATTTGGACTCCAAAAGCACAGTATTGAGTCCACTTAAGTAGCTTCCAATCACAATAATCATATGCTAATGAAGAAATAAACTGTGGTACTGGAAAGATATTCAGGTGCCCAAGTGAGTCAAGAGAAGACCAACAGAGCTGGTGAAAGGTCGAGAGAGGAAATCTTTTGAGGAGTGGCTGAGGGAGCTGAGGGTGTTCAGCCTGGTGAAAAGTAGGCTAAGGAGAGACCTTACTGCTCTCTGAAAGGAGATTGTAGCCACATGTCAGCCTCTCCACCCAGGTTACAAGTGACGGGAAGAGAGGAAATTGCCTCAAGTTGCACCACAGGACATTTAGAATGAATATTAAGAAAAATTTACTCACTGAAAAGGCTGTCAAGAATTGGAACAGGTTGCCTACAAAGCGATGGAGTTACCACCCCTGGAGATATTAAAAAGTMATGTAGACATGGCACATAAGAATATGGTTTAGTGGTTGGCTTGGCAGTGCTGGATTATAGGTTGGACTTGATGATCTTGTAGGTCCTTTCTAGCCTAAATAATTCTGTGATCTCCCCAATGGCTCAACAGGACTAAACACGTGATTCAAGGTTTTCCTGCATCTTATGTGCTCACTGCCCAGAAAGCAACCATATCCTGTGCTGCATCCAAAGCAGCGTAGCTGCAGGTCCAGGGAGCAGGTCCCCCTCTACCCTGCTCTTTAGAGACTCCATCAGGAATACTGCTGCATCCAGCTCCAGGATGTTTAGTGGCTCTCCTGCGGACCTATTTGAAGCTGAGCACAGGGCTGGAGCACCTCTCCTATGACAGGCTGAGACAGTTCAGCTGGGGTTGTTCAGCCTAGAGAGGTGGTTTCATGGAGATCTTACAGCATCTCCCAGTACCGAAATGGGGCTTTCAAGAAGGTTGGAGAGGGATTTTTCACAAGGACATGCAGTGATAAGACAAGGGGGAATGGCTTCAAGCTGAAAAAAGGTAGATTTAAATTAGATATTGGAAAGAAATTTGTGAGGGTGGTGAGGCATTAGATATTGGAAAGAAATTTGTGAGGGTGGTGAGGCATTGGAGTAGGTTGCACAGGGAAGCTTTGGATGCCCCAGCCCTGGCAGGGCTCAAGGCCAGGTTGGATGGACCTGAGCAACCTGGTCTAGAGGAAAGCATTCCTTCCCATGGCAGGAAGTTGAACTAGATGACCTTTAAGTTCTCTTGCAACACAAACCACTCGGTAATTCCATGGTCTTCCTTGTGCTCCATCAATATTCCCAACTGCTATGAGAACGCTGCCCTAAAGATGGGGCTCTTCAAAGTATACTGATGTAAGCACAAACAGAAAAAAATAAATTATAAAACTGCATAAAAAGTTTTTCATTTTCAAGCAGATGGATGGCTGTACCATAAAACTCCTAAGTGGGTAGTTCTTGGACTGCAGTAATCTCATCTCATGGCAATGCAGACTGTGAAAATACACACAATGTGCAAAGCAAAACAATTGAAGCCTTGCAGGAAGGAGAAAAGTATACATGACTCCTTTATCATGATCTYGAGAATTTTCTTTAAGCAATTCTAATGGGGGTGACATTATGCCCTCTATTATCCTGATTCTAAAGAGGAAAGAAAAAAAMCCCAAACTTTTGTGGTAGCTCAGATGGAACATTCTTTCCTGGCTACAACCACTTTCTACACTTCAGATGAACCTGTTGACACACACAAGTGTGGTGGTAGGCCTGTGTTCAGGAGATCCACTGTTTTGTTTCAGCAGAAAAAGAAGAGATATTGATAAACTCAGAATCCAGATCAAAGGTGCTTTATGCATTTCTATACAGCTTTAAGAAAGAACTAATACATCATTTGAAAGGAAAATGAGAAGCTAGACAGTATTTGCCTTTTCCTCCTCTTAACATCTATCCATTAATACCGAAAGTGCCCTCCATGCGAACTGACTGAAAGCTTAGTATAGAAAATTTATGCCATCAACATCCTTGACCACAGGAAAAAAAAAAAAAAAAAATATTGCAAACCTGGAGAATTTTCTTATATTTTTTTAAACTGTGCAAATTCCACCTTATGGGAGAACATGAAAAAGAATCCACAACCTTTAAAGGGCAAGAAACACAGTCCAACATTTTAACAACACTTCAATTTAACAGACAGTACTCAGACAGTACTGGGCTTCTCAGTCCAAGACTACGCCAGAAAAATTTAACAGAGATAATCTGAAGAACAGGCTAGTAATCTTTCCAAACCTTCTTAATTCAAACCAATGTATGTAGGAAAGTGGAAACAACTAGGTTTGCCATGGTTTAAGCTCAAACCCAAGTTTTCATTCAGACCTGTGACAAATACCATGTTGCTACAATGCAGGTTTCAAGCGTTGGTGTGTGACTGTGTTCCATATGAGTGGTGGGCTGATCCCAAACAGCAGCCACAGAGCCGCTTGCTGGTGACCCACCCTCCCCTCCCTGAGCAGCAAGGGAGAGGAGTAGAGAAGAAGCACAAGAAAGTTTATAGGTCAGGACAAAAGCAGTTTAATAGAAGGAAAGACGCAGGAAGGTGACATAAGGGAAATTACTCACCACCTTCCTTAAGCAAACCAATCCCAGCCAGTCTCTGAGSAGGAGGCACCCTGGAAGGCAACCCCTCCCCGCCCACCCTTCTTCCTCTACTTCCAGTTTCCATGGCTGAGCATAACATTGGGTGATGAGGACTATCCCTCAMACCAGTTCTGGTCACTGTCCCAGCTTTGTGCCTTCCCAGTCTCTTGCCAACCCATGCTTCCTCTCTAGAGTGGAGGTAGAAAGGGGATGGAAAAGAAAACTTGTTCAGCAACAAACAAAACATTGGTGTGCTATCAACACTGTTTCAGCCAAAGACCCAAAACACAACACTGTGCAAGCTGCTTTCAAGAAATTTACCTCCATCCCAGCCAGACCCAGTATAAAGTAAAAAAAAAAGAACTGAATTATCAGATGAAGTAACCGGTTGAAGTAAACAGCCAAAGTAACATCCCTGCTGTCTTCCTAGCTAGTTTCTCACCATGWATCCTGAAAGCTAACCAGTTAGTAACAAAGTTTTGACAAATACAGCTCCAATTTATCCTTATTTTGGATTAAACAARCCCAAAGTTACATTGTAATTTCATGCCTGTATTAAAAAGAAAAAATATCTGGTTACTTCAGAAAACCGAGCTCATCAATGTACATAGGGAGGTGAGCATTACATCCATTCACTCTGTACCACTGGAGAAGGTGGGAGGGGGAGGAATTCCCCCAAAGGTCTGTTTTGGCATTTAAAGGGTTGGCAGAAACATGCTCCAGAAGATTTAATTAAAAGATATGATAGTTGGTTTTTCAACTTATAATCACATGCAGTGTACACAGACCAATCCAAAGACATCATTAAAGGAAGACCTCAAACTCTGCAAGGAGCATCAATGGAAAACACAGGAATGGGGTAGATGGAAAATTAAGGAAGAGACACTAAGAGTGTCAAAATCAATTCCAGTCACTAGCTTTACAGGGATTAACTCAGAAAAAAAAATATACAAAAATACTCAGAAATACAATAAAGGATCTGAATTAGGAAACATTAAAAAAAATGGAGGCCCTAGTTTGAAAGAAAAAAAAAATATAAAAAGAAGAAGCAAGAGCTTAGAAGGACATGGAAAAAAGACATCTTATCTATAGAAAGATAAACCAAATTTTCTCATTCACTCCTACCAAACACCTGCAACTCAATGACATTAAAAGGTCAGGCATTCAATGAAACAAACATTTCCACATTTCACACAATACTATCGTATCTTGAACTTTGCTGCCCAAGACACAAGAGAGTAAACAAGAGATCCACAATAGTCAAAAGGCATTCCAAATTGTAAATATCACATGTGTGTAAAGGTTAAAAAACAAAGGTCTATTAAAACAAAGGAAAATAGGATRTAACACCCTCTGCAGCCTGAGTATGCCATATTCAACCAGTACAAGGGTTTTTGCACTGCAGTAGGTTACAAACCACTGATGTGGCCACTGTCAGACTGTAAATTTCAATTTACTTCAAATACATTGAAAATTTGTTGATAATTTCAAAGAAGAATATGTATATTCCAGGGCTTTAGTTCCCTTTAGTTCAAACTACATGCTGATATCAATAAAAAGGGTGTGATGAGTAGGATACACTTAGCCTAYGTGATCAGATAAATGAACCCTTACTTCAGCAAAGCATACACCTCTCACACACAAAGATCACAGACTGCAGCCAGTAACAAGGGTGTGCTTTGGTTCTGAAAAGCCCATATAAGTCATTCCCAAGAAAAAGAAKCTTAAACAAAATTGCAAGACACTGTGCATCATTGTATCAGGAGGATGCAGTGCACAGAATTTGAGCCACTGTGAAATATTTAAACCTCTCTGCATGCTTAAAATTACCTTACCTGTATTTTACAATTATATATATTTATATGCCATATACTGACCATTTAACATCGACTRTCTCTGTTAAGCAGAGTTAACTGTTCTACTGACCCAACTACACAGCTGCCAATCATCAGTCACTAATTTTAGGTCTAATGACTGGGAGAGATCCAAAGTGTTTCACTCAACTATTACATATTGTATTAATTAAAATAATTACTTTTGTAGTAAAAACAATTCAACTACACCAATGAAATTTTGTCTACAAGTATTTCTTCTTTAGAAGACATTTTGTTTCACAATAACAGCTAATCAGAGAGTCACAACAGTTATTGTTTTGTAGTTGAAATTCACATGACGTTTTTCAAAGCAAAATGAATGAGCAATGACTGCAGAGAATTAAGAAGAGCAAGGACCATGCATCAAGTTTTTAGAGCTCATTTTTATTATAAAATATACAGTTTTTCCACTCTACAGAAAAAAAAAATTACATTTCAAATGTTCATTACTTATAAAGTCATGCAAAACACTGATTGAAAGGAAATCACTATTTTTTGAATGCATAAGAGAAAAATTGTCCTATCTACTGGCCGTTTTTGGCATTGTATGGAATCAAGTACATGTATGTGCCATGCAGAATTCTACTGAAATGGAGGTCTGCTTCCCGTGGCTCTAGGAAGAAGGTCTAGTTTTATTTGTATCTGAAAGATACACATTTCTGTCATATCATTCAACTGCTTGGTGGTCTTCCTTCAATAAGCTAAACAAGACATTCCCAAAGAACTAGCACATCAAAAGCAGTATTCTAGAGAGTGCCCAGAGATGTTTACAGAGTTGTTTATCATTATATGTATGATCTACTCCCTAAATCTATGCTGTTCATGTCATCATTTCACACAATTTACAGCGATTTTCAAAGTCTTTCTTTATATTCAGAGCATACTGACTAGTATAAAGCATTAACCTACTCTAAGCTCTAAGGCCTGTAAGAAATACAGCAAGGAAGTATGGCACTGAAGAAAATGGGAGAAGAGGAGGCAAAAGTAACATTAAAAGCACATAACCCTCCATGCCTAGATCTCAAAGCACTCATGTAGATGGTAAAATTGAYTTCCACAGATTACATTCCCGCTAAAATTAGCCATATACTAATAAATTGTATGTGCAAGMAAAGAACCTTGACTGTAACCACCTACTGCAGTAACAATGCACAACAGACTGCTAGAAAAATMCTGTAAAACACCATTGGTCTTCTTAAACATAAAACAGACTTTTTAAATTAAATGKACATTGCAGGACACTTTGGCTGCATCTACAATAACACTGGATTATTTGTTTAGAATAAAATCGGTTTATATGTCTAAATTACCTTAAGTGTCCAATGTAACACTTTTCAATRATAGATTGTCTTGCAACAAAATTCAATATGGAATTCAATTAAGCCAATCTTATGCCYAAACACTCAAAAGAACCTCATCTGCACACAAAACACAGGATGTTCTATTTTGCTCATGAATACATTTACTAACCCGAGAGCTCCTTTTCTTCGGGAGGATGACCAAGACGACAAACCTGGACAACAGCTTTACTCCAGACGAGTCCAAGGCGGCCTGATGGCGTCCTCGAGACAGCAAACACCAAAAACCTCCTTTCCTTGGGCATGCAGCCCACTCCCGCATCAGCGCTGCCGCCTCTCCGGGAAGGGAGGCCTCSCTCGCTGTCTCGCTGCCCGTGCGCGGAGCGGAGCGCGGCGCCGCGGGGGATGCGGAGCGGGGAAGGCGCTGAGGGCGCTGCGCGGGCCGCGCAACCTCCGC